CGCAACAAACACATTTTGGTGATCATTTGTCTCTTTTTTGGTGATCAAAAGACAATTTTCTCCAAGAAAAAAGCCTACATGCACACGTCATTTTTTCTCGTTCTGTTTTCTGTCTTGCATAATTAGTCAACCGAGTTTCGCAATAAATACTATGATGCACAGCCATGTTTTATATATATATACCGTCATTCAACTCAAGTTTACACATGTAAATTTTTATTATAACAACACTAGTGAATGGCGAATGCAACTCGTTCAAATAAAAATGATGAACTTATGGAAGTTGATCGTGTCGGAGTAAAAATTGATTATAGAACAAAATCACAACGTTTCTCATGTCAAGATCCTGAGACACTTGCTGATGGTTTACGTCATCTTGAACAACATGGATACACAATCATATCAGATGTATTAGATGAAACGGAAATTAACACTGCAAAAAAACTCATTTGGCAACATTTAGAAGGTCTCAAATCGCCATATAAGATAAAACGTGGACAAATTCAAACATGGAATATATGGCCAGGTAGACATGAAGCTGGTATTATTGAAGATTTTGGAGCTGGTAATTCACAAGCTCAATGGTTTATTCGTTCTATACCTGCAATCAAAGATGTTTTTGCTGCAATATGGCATACTCGAAATTTATTATGCTCAATGGATGGTATTGGTGCTTTCAGACCTTGGCATTTGAATCCACAAATTCAGCGTAAGAATAATAATACTAACTTTGAGTTCCTCTTTTTTTGTTTTACTGCGGTGTGATATATATGTATATCTTTTTTTTTCTATTTTATTTTATTTATGTTGTAGAGAGAGACATTGAAACTAACACTAATCCATGGAAAACTGTTGGTGCTAATTGGCATGTCGATCAAAATCCAGTTACGAAACCAAATCGAGTTTGTGTTCAAGGTATCATTAATTTATTACCCGCAGATGAAACAACCGGTGGATTAATGGTTATACCTGGTTCACATAATCGTTTTCATGAATTACTTTCTATTTGGACAAAATCAGGAAATAATTCTAAAATTCCTGTATATCATGAAATATTACAAGAAGGATATGGTTTATTAATTCATGCTCAACCAGGTGATTTATTATTATTTGATTCGCGTACTGTTCATTGCAATAGTCCTTCATTTGTCGCACCACCACCAATAAACCATGGTGAAACGCCTGGTTTATTAAGAATGATTAGTTATATTTGCATGACCCCATTGGCACTTGCAGAAAATCCAGATGAATTAATTGATCGTCGACTAAATGCATTTCGCTATCGATTAACAACATCACATTGGCCACATGAATTTCAAATTATGGGAGGAGAAATATCAAGAGGTGAAAATAGTATTCAATTGACAGATTATCAACGAAATCTCATTTTAGGCATTGATCAATAATATTTGCAAAATCTTTTTTTATCTGAATCATATCTTATTTTTATAAAAAGCCATTAATGTTTTCAGATATTATTTCACACAACAAAATCTGTCGTATTCAAAATAAAACTTCTTATCAATCCACAGATGAAGTGACGATTGATAAAGTCAATATTTACCAATAATGCAGATATTCATCTATTACTGGCAGATGTCTTTTAAAATAATGAGTTTAATAGATAGTTGCGATAGTCAAATAATGAAATTCATTATGATTTCAAAGGATATATTTTTGCTCTTTTACAGACCAGCAAACATGTTTTAGCTTAGGAAATTTATGGCATATTTCATCAATAGTGGTACTAAGTACGATATTTTCGATAATCAAATTTTTTATTATTCTATATGCATTTTAATTATCTACTGATGAATCGATAATTTATATCAAGGTCATTGGACTCATAGTTTGTTGATAAAAATAACAAATTGGCAAGTTTTTGTAGTTGATCAATGTTATCAATGATGCATTCGAGCGATAAAGTTTGAATTTGTTCGAGGGAGGACTGAATCAAGTTTTTCGATGGAACAGAAAGTACAATTAATTGTATGCGATCATCATTGATTGAATAACAAACAAATTGCTAATTAATATAATTTTTCCTTTACTGAATACCAATGATTTGTTGGAGAAAAGTAAGGTATAGAGAATAGTCTAATGCATAATATAGTCATAGTTGAGATCAAACAGACCATGTGTCGATGTTTTTCGATTGTCAAAAATGCATTTTGAAAAAGTACAACTACATCATCACCAATCATATCATTCTCTGATGATGTTAGATTCAATGCCAATTCAATTCAGACGTCGCAATTTTATTTTAATTGATGTCTTGTTTAGTCCACCATCAAGTTGAGATGATTCACCAATTGTTTCTATCTAATATGAGACGTCTAAGTGATGGAGTAAGCGAATTATGATTTCGAGTTCATGAAAATAAGTAATGTTGAAAATTTTGATTTTAGCATTATAGAACTTATATGTGGTAGAATGTAATCCAGTGTTAACATATCCTGCCTATATGATACTGATATACAAAGGTAAAATGAATTCAGAATTCAGTGACAAAATATTCAGTAAGTTGTTTAATACGCAAGAACGAAGAGTCAAATGAGTAGATCGATCATATTGAAAGGATCAAAAATCGTGTATAGAATTTCTCAAGAAAGGTAATCGATCATACATGATATGCTCTTCAGATTAATAAGAACATGTGAATGTCTCTAATGAGTATAATTATAATGATGTTCTTGTTCCATTGTTCAATCGTATCATGGTTAAAATATTCTGGATTTATTTATTAGTTGAAGATTTCATATGAATGGCATTTTATTGAAAGTGCATTTGATAATAATTGGAAAAAACAAACGCTTTTTTTAAGTTTTTTAACTATCTATTAAACACAGTTTAAAACTAATTATTTGTTAATTATGTAATTATATCGATGCTATCATAAAATGACGTATATCTTCTTTAAAGAATTTTGTAGAGCATTTAAAACCAGAAGATATTCATATTTTTGCTTAAGATTTTCGATTCTTCTTCAAGAATCACTTTTGAAAGCGACTTAGATTCCTATGAATATCGACTGTGAAAAAATCTGACTCGTTGTATGTATGACTTTTCCATTCAGTAAAATAAATGAAATCTATTAGTTAGATACTAGTCCATGCTTTCAAACTTACTACCTACCCATTCATGATAATGTTCAATTGACAATTAATTGTTGTTATATCTTACATGTATTTATTTTTGTTTTTGAAACTATTCTTCGTCAGACTCAACTTGTATTTTCTGAATATACTCGATGAAGATTCATTGAATAAAATGTTAGACTATTAGTAAGTTGATTGAGTAGGGATCGATCATACAGTATATTATTCTTTTTTGTTTATTAACGATTATCGAATTATTGTAAACATGTTCATTTTCATGTAACGAATCTTCGACTGTATCGTAAATCAACAATAAGTGAAAACAGGAATATTCTTTAAGTATCTGTAATTTAATTCTATAATTCTTTATTTATTGCTTCAAACACATGATTAAAAGATCAAATATAAAAGAAACATAGGTCTATAAGTAAATCTTATTGAATAGAATATAATGATAAAAGTTAGAACATAAAGTCATGTTTCTTAATCATTGTTAATATTCATTTTGTACTCCGGAAGGAGATAGTTAAAAATTAATTTATTAATTAGAATTTTGTTTTTGTTAGTTTTCTCACAAAGAAGTCTTTAATATTAGCAAATCTTTGTTTAATCTTTCCT